CCTCATGTTCGCTTCAAGCTGCCTGGCTGCCGGCCGCCATCTTGGCTGGCAGTTAATTTGCATATCGCCCTGATTAGCCAATGGGAAGGTTAGCGGATGTACAGCTAAATACCATGTTTCTCTTTTATTAGATAGGATATCCCAATAAGTTCTCCTCTGGAACCTCTAGCCTCCACATTAGTCATTATTTGAAATAGTCATTTCCAAAATCTAATTTGTGTCCAATGGTTATCAGATAATTTCCCTCAAGTTGTAAGTGCTACAAGGGTAAGGACTGTATCCTACTCCTCATCTCCACAGCCCTAATACATAGTATCCAATCAGATAGGGTGCACCAAAATTCTCTTTAAGGAGATGTGTGAACGTGTCTTAACAGTTTCAGTTTCATCAAAATGTAACTGAACTGAGATTCTTCCTTTTCTTAAAAGGTCTAAAAGGAAAGTACTTGGAAGAAAAGATTCTGGGGACATGTCTGTTCGAAGCAAGTCAAGAGCTTCCCTTGGCAGCAGTAGCAGTAGCAGCACTGGTTCTGTCACTTCACCCAACAGCAATGTGACCACCGCCAACAGCCAGAGGTCTCCTGGCCTTATCTACCGAAATGCTAAAAAGTCCAACACATCCAATGAAGAGTTTAAGCTGTTACTCCTCAAGAAAGGCAGTCGTTCAGATTCCAGTTATCGCATGTCTGCTACTGAGATTCTGAAGAGTCCCATCCTGCCTAAACCTCCTGGGGAGCTCACAGCCGAGTCTCCCCAAAGCACCCATGAGGCCCATCAGGGGACACTTGGGGCCGAGGCATTGTCCCCACTCTCTCCATGCTCCCCACGAGTTAATTCAGAAGGATTTTCCTTGAAGAACTTTGCCACCTCAGCATCAGCAAGGGTTGGACGTTCTCGGGCTCCTCCTGTGGCCAGCAGCAGCCGCTACAGTGTCCGCTGCAGGCTGTACAATGCGCCCATGCAGGCCATCTCTGAGGGGGAGACAGAAAATTCCGATGGGAGCCCACATGATGACCGATCCTCTCAGAGCTCAACATAGGTAGCCCGTGCCAGACTGGCTATCAACGGTCAAAACCCTTAGTCTATGAGTATGGGGGAATAGAACAGAAAGCTAGGGAGAAGTCAGCATGTCACAGGGTACCATCACTTACTACCAATGAATTCCTAAATATTTGCTGGGGAAACAGAAGGTGGTTTGGTCTTTTTTTATTATTTTCCATGTTTTAAGTAGCTGTACTGTCTTTCATATTTTTCTTTAGCTTAGTTTGATTTACTCAATGCCATTCTTTTTGATAACATAGAATTTTAAAATGTCTGCTTTTCATGAAACCTAGAAAACAATTTTCCCAGAGCTGCCTATTCAGAAAAGAAAACCCTCACTGTCATAATTCTTAAAAAGATGAAATTACTCTGGAGGTTTGGTATTTTTTTACATTAAAATGAACTAAAGCAAAATTTAGAAGAAAGAACTACACACATGTAAATACCATATTTTTGATAAAAATGTGTAAATAGATTTATCAATGACAAGTGGACATGTGGCCAATTATCTACTGCACACCAACTGTTTATAGAACATAACAGATAAAGTGTAATAATTGTATTCTGTGAATACCATTTTCATATTAATTACCATATTTAAATGTCCACCAATATGATTTCTGCGTGATAAACCTCATATATGAATTTTAAACTAGTGAAATAAAGGAAATCTTGAGGTCATATACTGAAATGTGATTAATTTAAAATAAGGAATTCAGACCTAACTATTTTTGTGACAAATTGCAGCACCAAACAAGCTAATAGTTATTATCATGTGGCTATAATTTGCCATATGGTAATTTGGACAGAATGAAAAGCATGCTTTTGATTTTTTAATCAATGAGAGAAATCATCATTCTCAATACAAAGCCCTGAACAACAACATTTGACAGTGTCCTTTAAACTTTAATTTTTCAATGAATTGCTTTAAAGAGAATGAGCAGGGAAAACTAGTTAATTTTAGATTATGTTTTATATTAGGCTCCCAGAGACATAAAAAGTCATAATCTAATGACTATAATTTTAAAACTCCTTAAACAGTCTAGAAATTAGTTCCAGGTTCTTTAACTAACAAAAATAAAACATAAGCATGCTACAGAATTGTTGATTTATCAGTAAATACCTGCAATGAGTTTTCAGTGAAGCTTCTCTCTGTGCTGATGAGATTTGTTCTACCTAAAAATTAACAGAAATGACACTGTGAACAATGTAGTTGGGAAATAGGTATGTGTATATGCATTATTTATATTCACTGTTAAGCTGGGAATGGGGGACAGCTCTGGTTCACAATGCTACATACACCTGAGTTTTTGTCTGATTTTACTATATCTGCTTGATGGCAAAAGGGGAGGGGTGGTGGGTGGGAAAGGAAATGTCAGAGCAAATGCTTTGATAAAAAATGAAGGCAGGGAAACAAGCTGAATTACTTGAAATTACTTGAATTTTCTTGTCTTAAAATGGAAAAAAAATGTAGTTACAAGTTGAAATCTGCAAATAGTTTTTACACCTCTGATTTTAACATGAACTGATGTTAATGTTTGAAATGTCAGAAATATAAGTAGTTATATATTTAGAATATGTTTTGAATGGGAAAAGGTAGCAAGTGGAGAGAACTAAGGAGGGATATGGCCTATAAAAGAATAGAATGCAATTAGAATGAGAGAACATACCAGAGTTACCAAGAAATTGATATGCATCTGGCTTTAAGCTTATGCAAGTGGTATTTGGGAAAGTAGGATGTGTGAAAAAGGGGGTGTGGTTTTTATTTCATTCATGCAATATGAAGGGGGAAACCTGGTCTAAGAAGATGCTGTATTTCAAAAGAAACACTTTCTAAGATGTTACAGATTGAGAATTAGAGACTCTGATTGCTGTTGGGTTTTTTTGTTTGTTTGTCTGGAAAAAGAGAACAAGTCTGGCTTCTATTTGTTTTCACTATCAAATTGTGTTACTTAATTTCTTGTCATCCTTGTATGTAAAATGGGTGCAGGGGGTGGCGGGGTAGAGGAGGGAGAATGTGTATGTGTGTGTGCATGTGCACGTGCGTGCACACGCACGCTCTTGGGCTGGGATAGATAAGCTACCTGGTAAAGGGTACATTTGAACATTTATGAAATGTTATACTTTTTATTAAAAGAAATATGTTTGGGGTTTGAAAAAAATGTACCATCATTTCTCATTGGAACCCATGACTTAAGAAAACCAACATGGTTTGACACCACATGGGAACATGAATATCTTTTTCTCATGCTTTGAAAAGTACATTTGGCAAAATTTTAAAAAATAAAGTTTTTAGACAAATGTGGTAAGAAACAGTCATTTCCAGTCACAATAGGTTATCTTTTGTAATTTTCATAAAAGCAGTTCGTTTGCAGTATGGCTTTGTATAGTTAGGGGGGTTTTAAGTGTTAAGAAAGGTATGTGGGCTTTAAAAGTGATTCTAAAGCTTGAATAGAAACATGAATTGGCTTTAATAAATATGTCACCTTTTTATTATTGACATTAATTTAAGTAATGGTACCATGTATAGCTTAAAATACATATTGACTTGAATTGTGAGGCAATAAGATACCTTCTATATGTAATGATCACAAAACTAACCCTTATAATATAGTTTTACTTATTTTGTTTACTCTAAAAATCTATAGCAGAGTTTCTCTATTTTATATTTCATAGATTTAAAAAAAAACCAAATAAAGATAGATTTTGAATTCACTGTGGAAAATACTATTGAGTAACAAACTAAGTAAAAAAAAAAAAAAAGCAAGGAATCCCTTAGTAATCTGGAATATTCTACATGGCTTTGTTACATAGTATATAAAACCAAGATTTAGAGGCTGTCTTCAACATCACTGCCATCTTGAAGCAGGGTACACACATTAGGTATTGCAAAAAACATCAATCCAAAGTTTTCTTCTGTTGTTTGCACTGATGCTAATTTTTTGTGCTTTTAGGTTTATACAACATGTCTATGTTGTGTGGGGGAATTTTTTTCCTTACTCTTTGATTTTTTTTTTATGTTTTGGCTAAGTAGAGGACATGGACTAGTTATAGCAAACAAAACACACTGTTTGCTCTTGCCAAAGGTCAGTGAGTGAGTACATTTGCTGCAGTGGTGGCTGACTTAGAAAACTAGATCATGACAAAAAGATTTAAAACTATGATGTGTCACTATTTTGGTACTAGAACCAATTCATGCTGGCCGAAAAGACAATGGTTTATGGACTTGCATCCATTTTGTATTTTTGTAATATTTGTAAATATGAACTTTTTAAATTGTTGCAAAAAAATGGTTTCTTTTGTAAGATGTTTTCAACGTTTACATTCAATTCAAGCCTTTGTATATTTTAGAGCTGTGCAACACTTTAAGTCTTGTATTTATTTTTAGTAAAAATGGTGACAGTTTCATTGTGAACCCCTTTAAAAAATGTACCAGGAAAGTTTGATTACCTAGAAAGTGTGTATTGAAACTGCAAATAAACGTGACTGCAATTAAATTGGTTTCTCTCTTCATTGTTATATAACTGCATTCTTGGGGATTCACAAACATAAGCATTTTATACGGAACTGGACATCAAGGAGGGGAGACTACTATGGCAAAACTATGAGCATAATAATAATAATAATGGTAGTAATAATAATAATAATAGTGTTTCTACAATGGGCTCAAATCTTGCTTTGTATTTCAGAAAAGAAAGAACACATTTCCAATGTTGGATATACTTTTCCGTAGCCCCTCTCTGGGCTAGGAAAAGATTTCTGGCTTTGAAATACTCACCTTTAGTTCTGATAAGTACTCAGACTGTTCCACACTGTTCCTTCTTCCCAAGATGGGCAGCCTCGAGAATTTATTACATAGCAAATTCATGTGCCAGATAGTGTTCTAAGTGCTTTGCTTACTCCAACTCATGTACTCCCCACATCGTGCCCATTTTACAGATAGGGAAACTAAAGCACAGAGCGTTACTTGACTTGCCCAAAGTCATAGAGTAACTAATGTTGGGGCTGAGATTCCAACCCAGAAAATTTGGCTCCAGGGTCAGTACTTGTAGCAAACCACAATTACTAAGGTTGATCGCTATGGCCCCGCCCCTCTCCCTCTCAAATTCCAATACTGATGAGCACACTTAGAATCCAGTCAAAGTGTACTTTAGAGGGAGCGGTAGGAGAGGAATTACGTTTCAAAGAAAGCTTCAAAGAACCAATCAGTGACAGTGGGAGGGCACAAGCCTAAGTGCCACAAACCCGAGAGCTGCCTCCACAACCCTCCGAGAGCTGCCTGTGACAGTGGGAGGGCACAAGCCTAAGTGCCACAAACCCGAGAGCTGCCTCCACAACCCCCCGAGAGCTGCCTCCACACCCCCCCGAGAGCTGCCTCCACAACCCCCGAGAGCTGCACAATCCCCGAGAGCTGCCTCCACAAACCATCCCGTGAGCATGCGCGAACAGCTCCTGCCCAGTTCCAGAAGCCCCGCCCAGCATTGGAGGTTGCAGGATTCCAACCCTTTTCCTGGGAGGTCGCCCTAGCAACGTCCTGCTGTCCAATGTACGCGCTTGCCTCGACGGTTGCTGGACGTCACGTGGTCCTGCTCTCCGCACGATTTTGAGTGACTCCAAAGAGTCTTCGCCATAGCATCTCAGAGGGACGAGCGCGCTACAGCTAGTCCGTTCCTGTGTCTTCTGGAGGCTGTTTTCACCAGATTTGTCACCAGGAAAGGTTTATCCAGCGATATTTCCCCTCTCCTTGAACTTTCTTGTCTTGGGTGTGGGTGAGAGAGCAGTTGAGTGATTTTAATGCCTTAGGAACTCCGGGGAGGGGTCAGGTGGAGTGTGTGTGGGTAGTTCGGGCTGGTTCCCACTGGTTCCCATTGCCGCCCCGGGATGCTGGGGCGTGTGAGCTTTTGTGATTTGACCACTTTTTGAGTAGTTGGTGCTGACCTTCAAGGACGAGTTTATCTTTTTCATTCTCTTCCTTGGCATATCAAGACCTTGTTTTTGAGGCTTTGATGGTAGCTGTGTTTGACCAAAGATGTGCAGCGTCGCTCTTTTATTGTAAATACGTAAATAAGGAAAAAGAAAGATGTAGGTTGTGCAAGGTCTTTTGAGAACTTTGTTGGGGATCGTTTCCCTCCTTCCCTACCTGGCTCTCCTGGAATTCAGACTAGTTTTAAACTGGTTTAACATTTACAATTAGTGGTTGTTCAGTGTATTGACACAGTTTGTGTGTGTGTGTGTGTGTGTTTTAAATCCTCGCTCGAGGATACTTTTTACTTTTTTTTGCGAAAGAGAGAGAAACATTGTTGCGAGAGAGAAACATTGTTGCAAGAGAGACACATCCACTGGTTGCCTCCTGCCCACACCCCCACCCCTGGTGGGGTAGTACATGACCTTGACTGGGAATCAAAACCTGGACTCTCTGTTGCGCAGGTCAACGCTTTAACCACTGAGCAAAGCCTGCCAGGGCGACATCGTTTTGTTTTAAAACGTTTTGGATTGGCCTGGCTATTGTAATCTGTCCTGTTTTGCTGTGTATTCCTTGCAGTTTGTTTTCAAGTGAAAGACCACTTTCATCCCTCACCACTGTGAAAAGTTGATGGCAAGTGAATGCCTGTACCTTGGGCGCAGAATCTTCAAATGTCTTTTGAAAAATGCCTTTGAAATGTCTTTAATGTCTAAAAAAGTCATAAAAACTAGGTAGCTTTTTGGTATTATGTTGTCAAGAACTTAGATTTTTTCTATTGTAAAATATGGATGAGCTTCATTTTTAAGTTAATTCATTTTGCAGGAGTTTGAATTTAATGGCTTATATTAACTAGTTTTGCAAAATCTAATGGCTGAACTCTAAGAAAATCTTGTGCAAACTTTAATTATTTACCTTGTGGGAAGAAATGAAAGGAAAACAAAGTTTATGCTTTACCTGCTATGAACCAGATATGATGCTGATTGCTTAACTGTGTCATGTGGTCTTCACAGCCCTGTGGAGTAGATATTATTCCAACTTTACAGATTAAGAAATTAAGACACAGAAAGATTAAATACCTGCCAAAAGCAAAATATCAAGTTTTGCAATTTGGTCTTGGGCTTGAGTATTTCTTAAAGCCCAGTTATTTTTCCTGTGCCCTGGTACTTCAAATTTGTTTATAATAAATGGTTGCTATATCTGCAATGTCCAGATGCAAAGTGAACCTGATTTACATGTTATAACCCTGAGGATTTGTTGCATGTTACACATGTGTTCCATGATGAATAGTTGGGAGGATGCTGTGAATACCCAAATAATAAAATAATAGTAGCCAACAGTGGGTGCCTTTGCTATACTAGTCATTGTTCTAAGCATTTAATCCTCATAACTCCATGAAGCTTGTACTAATTTCTGTCCTTTACGCAATGTTATGGTTGTGAGATTTGTCCTTGTGCATAGCAATAGTTAATTTCTTCTCATTGCTGTATAATCTTCCTTTGTTCAAAACATCACAGTTTAATTGTACATAGCTTGTTATTACTTGTATCAGGAAAAATACACATAGTATAAAATAATAAAATTTGGTTGAAGTTACAGCTCAAATTAGATATATTTTATAACTGCATATTTCCCACAGTGTTAGCCTACATTTATCTAACTTGAGACTTAATTCTCCCTTCATTGTGACTGTCATTAATGGTCTGGCTCTGGATGGATAAATAGAATTAGCACTCTCATGTATGTCCCCCTTCTAGTGCCATGATGCCAGCCAGGGTTCAAATCCTTACTACAAGATATGATATGATTGCATTGCACTCCATGTTTTTTTCCTATTTGCAGTTAAATGACCCAGAATCATAACCAAGCCTACACAATTCTGAAAGATCTTCAGCTGATAATTTTATATACATTTATTTAGGTTTAATATGAAATTTAACTATGGAAGCAATCATAATCTTAGAGCTGAAGTGACCTTAGGGATAATCTCAGCCAGTTTTCGCCAGTCAGATGAAAAGGCGGTATCTCAGGTGGTCTGCCCAGCCCACACCCTGGTGGAGACCCAAAGTGGAGCAGACTCCTGACTCACATTTGAAGGCCTGCTGGAGTTCCTTTACAAAAGCAGTTAGGAATCTTAGGAATCATGTTGCCTTGTTTCCAGCATTTAATCTGTAACCTTTAAATTGTGAAGCATTCAGTTCACAATTTGGAATTGTGTTTGATCTTGATTCTCATTCCTATGCGTGGTCAATGTAGTTCTTCAAGCTTTAAAGGTTTATTCTAAATCACAAACAGGAAAATTCTAAAATTCAACCAGGACTCCAATTTGAGTTGGCTTGTGAGAACATATCCATACTAAGTTTATTAACGTAGTATGTAAAGTAACATTTTTATGCATTGCTTTTCAGGAATAGAAGGCTTATCAGTCCTAGGTGACCAAGCATTTCACAAATAAACCCTCCAGCAAGTTTAAGAATAATTAGGTCCAACTCAGAGAGGTGAAGTTGCTCCTATTGCGCAATGATGTCTAGCTGCTCCAGTGAAGTTGATGTGGTTTGTATTTCAAATTGAAAAAAAATGTGTCCTCGTTCTTTTCATTGTGCTCTATTTCTTTTCTCAATTGAATTTAATTTCAAGCAGAGACTGTAAGTATTTAGTTCTTGACAGTGATCTATAAAGCTGCTGTGAACATTCATGTACAAGTATTTTGTGAACAAATACTAACAGTTCTTTTGGGTAAATGCTCAGGAATTGAATTGCTTGATTATATGGTTGATGTAATTATAACTTTACTAGAGGCCCAGTACAAGAAAATTCGTGCACTGGGGGGGCCATCCCTCAGCCCGGCCTGCTCCCTCTCACAGTCTGGAAGCCCTCAGGGGATGTCCTACTGACAGGGAGGAGCAGGCCTACGCCACAGTCTGGTCTCCCTCTGCAGAAGGTGACTTGCCTATCAGGGGAAGGCACTGCCCCCATCACTCCCTCACTGCTGCTGCCTCTGGCCTCCCTCTGTGGGAGGTGACCAGGCCGATCAGGGGAAGGCAACACCCCATCATGCCTCTGCTGCTGCCACTGCCTGCCAGAGGCTGCCTGAGCCTCGGCCCTCACACCCACTGCAGCTTTCCTGAGCCTCGGCCCTCACAGTGGCAGCCATCATCCATGGCTTGCCTGAGACTCAGGCCGGCCCTGGGCAGCGGCTTGTCTGAGCCTCGGGCCGGCCCTGGCAGCAGCAACCACCATCGGTGGCTTGCTTGAGCCCTGGGCCAGCCCACCATCGGCGGCTTGCCTGAGCCTAGGGCTGGCCCTGGGCAGCGGTAACCGCCATTAGGGGCTTGCCTGAGCCTTGGGCCAACCCTGGGCAGAGGCAGCCGATGCACCTCCTGGTCAATTCCCCGCCCTGAACGCAGCATCAAGTCCCCACCCACCCACGTGCACCTTGCAGCTCATGCAGTCCTGCTCACCTGCACGCGTCCGCTGCGCATGCAGCCTCCTGGTGATCACTCGTTGCGGCATGAGGGCATCAGGAC